GGTTTCTCGTCCCGGGTTTGTTTTCAATTGGAACGGCTTGGTTATTCCTGTATAAGGAATGGGAGCACCCTGAAGTCCAAAAAAAAAAAATAAGAGTCAATTTTGAAAAGTAAGTTGAAAGTGGGTTGTCTTACCTGAATGACAAGCCAGTCGATTTGATCGATAACATAGGTTTTCTTGTCTCGAGGATCAAGCCGGACACGTTCCCCAACGTGCTTTTCTGGATTGTATATCTTGTCACAGATAATACCATAGCTCATTGGAGAGCATCGGGATCCAAAGGTGACTACTCCTCGTTTGATTTGTTGTATCCGATCGAGAACTAGACCATGGACAACAACAAGCTGCCTTTGCCAGTTTAAATATGTGTCAGCTCTTTCGCATGATGCAGCCAATGTCTGAAGAGTGGTATTGACATACGGTTCGTCTGCGACCAAAACTTGCATCCCCACCGCGTTTGGAAGCTTCTGGCTACTTGTATTGCTATACTTATCCACAAGGCATTGTCTCACATATGGAGAGCTGCCAAAACCTCCAGAAAGGATAGTATATTTCTAACAAGAGAAGTTAGTCAGATGCTCCCCTAATTGAAGCCAAAATACATGCAATGTGGTCGTCGGGGTACTTAGTCAACATATTTTTGATATGTCCATCCAAAAGGACAGACATTTCATCGATCTTGGCGTCGAAACAGAATTTTAGGTCATCCCTATATTTATGTAAGCCATGCGTTTCTAAATATTGTCAACCTCAAGTTTACCATGCAATGAGCATTTGACCCTCAGATACAAAGGCTTCTGGGAAGTCCGAGTCGGACTCCAAACATGGTACGTCAAGCTTCAACCATGGGGTCAATGTAGATTCAGTACCAAATGTGCACTTAAGTCTCTGAAAGCGACCTGTAGTCATTTCCCAAGCAGCCTCACTTGCTGAAATGCTAAGATGCTCACTGATCCTCTCCAACCGCTCGCATATTAGTCGATGCATCTTTCTATCGATGAATACCGAACCGATTGGTTGACCTAGCACCTATCAGCATGGTTGATATTAAGTCTTCCCACATTTCGAAGTTGACAGGTACCTTCCACATGGCCCAACTGCTCCAGTCTGGTCGGCTCTCCGCGCGAAGAAATGAGTTTGAGGACATTCACATCCTAGGGACGGGTTAGGATGTCACTCTAAATAGTATAGTATAAAAGCCACATTACAGTTGTCCCTCCGCCTGCATCACAGATAAGGATGGTATCATCCAGCTAGGTGGCAGTTCGATCATGTCAGCGACGGATTGCATATGAGTATAACCTTTCCCCCTTCTAACCTGGTAATGCTCATTCCCAGCATAAACTGCAGCCGCCTCAGCCTCGGTCAGACTGACAGAAACGTGATGATTTGGTGTTTTTGAATTGATTGCGCGCTGGAGAAGTCGGCGTGTTTCTTCCACCATGCGTACATCCTTCCATGTAGTCGGCACACTGAAAAGAAATTCAACCTGAAGCGAGCTGAAACGAGGAATTGTGGTGTTGAAATGATTAACCACATGTTGGTAGACACACTGGATGTAATCTTGAAACCAGCGCTGAGCATCCTGTCGACTCGGGCTCCCTGGCAAGTCATCGTGATAGTGAGGTGCAAGATGCAATTTAAAGAATTCCTTGATATCAGCATTTCTATCTGTTTGGTCACACTTGAAACCCCAATTCTTAATCAAGCCTGACTCATTATCATACTCAATACACGTGGGAACCTTGTTGGAAAGCTCGCCTGGCAACTTTCCCGGCCAACGTTGAATGGTTTTGGGGGGAAGCCATTCTGGTGCACAGGAATACGCAACCCCTATAAAAGAAGGACATATTAGAATCTTGCGACTTCGAATGAGCAGACATATAATCTTTTCACTGATCAAGTGCGACATACCGGTATAAGTCATCCCAAAGTCGATCGCAACTACAATATCCGGCGTCCACGTTCCCCAGACATCGTCTGATGCTTGGGTTTTCAGCATCACGACCTCCTTTTCAGCCATTTTTCTCCTAAGCTGAGTTTATTATTGAGAGTGGCATTTGTAATTTTCAGGGGGAATGAATGCGATGGCTCGATACGAAAATCAAACAAAAAAGGACCCTGAATCACTCTTACCTCCAAGCGGTACCACTCTCGTAAGCCCCTAACAAGGATGTTACTCCCATCACGTATTTTGAGAACTTTGATTCAACTAATGCATGAACTAAGAGTAGCTCGTCTTAGTCCCCCAATTGGTTGTTCGGACTATACCCATTTCGTACGTAGATCGACCTGGCCGCAGATATTATATCCATACATTCATCTGGAAGTCCTTTTTCCATTTCTCTTACAACCATCTAATTCACTATGGCCAACGCAGCACAATCCAGCCAAGCGGAGAGCAGTAGTATTTCATCCCCGGTGAATGGTGACCCTACAGGTGCAACCACTGCTGTTTCATCCTCCTGGTCGAATGGTAATGCTACAGTCGCGACCACTGCTGCGTCATCCTCCTCGACCTCCTCGTTGCTAACGTCGGTGATTCCCACTCAGCCTGCTGGTAATTCAGCAGCACGAACGCCTTCCAGCGCTGCCAATCCATCACATACACCTACCAACAAAACCGTGGTCCCAATATCTTCGCAATCAAATGGAAGTTTCAGCTCTGGGACTCTGACAGGTGCCATAATAGGCGCCTTTGCAGGGGGTTTTATCTTGGCTCTATTAGCGGCCTTTCTTTTCTTCCATTTCCGCAAGAAGTCCAGCGACCCTAGGGAGAAGGGCCGTGATTCTACTGCTGAGGAAAATAGAGGAAAAGTATCAGGACAGGCAATCACCACATTCGCTGGCTCCTCTACTATAGTGAATCCTGATGCACCTCTCCCGCCAGTTGCGACCGCGTTCAAGTCCCGGCATCTCGATCTGTCTTCATATATCCCCCAACCAGCAGATGACAACTCTGTGTGCTTGCGAATCCAGAACTTATTTGATCTGGCCGGTCTGCATGTTGAGAACTACTACTCTCGCACCTCTTCCAATCCCCCATTGACTCAAGATCTTCGTGCTCGTCTCAACGACTACGACTCAGGATCTTTACCTTTTCCCTTAGTCACCATACTTTCAAGAC